GGGCCTGGGGGCGGCGGGGGCCGCGCCGAGGCGGGCGGGCAGCATCCCTCCCTTGCCTTTTTAAAAAAATACCTCCCTCCCTGTTTAAAAAAAAAAAACAAAACAAACAAACGCTCTTTCCTTTCCTTAAGGCCGGAGGAGAAAGCTCCGCTTCAGCTTCCTTGCCCCAAGCATCCATCCTCGCCCCAGGGGCCCCTCATTGCCCCGAACGTCCCTCTTGCACCCAACACGCCTTCGTTGCCAGCGATTTCCAGTACGCGCCAGAGCAGTTCTCACTCGGGGTGGTTTTTGCGGGAATCTTGGCGTGTTGAGGAGGTGTTTGTTGTCAGGAGGAGGAAGGGTGAGGCTGGGGAATGGGTGGGACATTTCTCCATCCCTCTGAGGTGGTGGTGTGGGTTATCCTACCCCGCACACCATCACCAAAAAGAGGTGACAGGCTCAGACATTGGATAGCTTATTTTTGGTTGTGTTTTTGTGTGTGTGTTTTTTTTTATTTTTTTATTTTTATTTTTAATTTTTCCAGTCAGTTTTTGCCACATCATTATGGGTTAATATTTTAGGGAGAATAATTTGTTAAGTATTAGTAGCTGGGAGTGCTGAGAATGTGCTGAGGAAGGCCATGGACCTGTTCAAAGTTCAAAGGAGGGGCAGCAAGATGATCAGAGGGCTGGAGCACTTATCCTGTGAGGAAAGGCTGAGAGAATTGGGGTTGTTCAGCCTGGGAAAGGGAAAGCTTCAAGGAGACTTAACAGCAACTTCCTTTATAATACCTTTATAGTATCTTTAGTACCTAAAGGGGGCCTGCAAGAAAGTTGGATAGGAACTTTTGACAGCAGCATGTAGAGATAGAACAAGGGGGAATGGGAATGGCTTTAAACTGAAGGATGGTGGGTTTAGATTGGCTATTACGAAGAAAATGTATAATGTGTGGGTGGTGGGGCACTCGACCATGTTGTCCAGAGAAGCTGTGGATGCCCCATCCCTGGAAGTGTTCAAGGCTAGGCTGGATGGGCTCTGAGCAATCTGGTCTAGTGCAAGGTGCCCATGGCAGAGGGGTTGGAACGAGATGATCTTTAATGTCCCTTCCAAACCAAACTTCTATGATTCTATGAAATAAGAATTAAAACTACAGAATAAGTATTATGAGATGATTAGGCTCAGGTGTCTGATATAGGGTATTGGGGCCTGGTTTACCAGTGAGGAAGCTGGCATGATAACAGATGAGTTCAGTGATCTTAGTGGTCTTTTCCAGCCTTTACAATTCTATAATTCTCAGATTTGCTCAAGGTCATGGAGGGAGCCCTGGCAAGCCCTTGCCTAGAGCCAGCAGTTGTCTAATCCCTTTCCTCTGTGTTTGAGGGTTGAGCTTTTCTCCTAAATGTATTGCCTGTATGGCTTGTTGTGGGTAGAGCCTGGATGGGCAAAAACCATGCTGCCAGTAGCTCAGAGGTCATATAGCCAGGACAACCCCAGCACAGAAATGAAAAGTGATTTAAAAGAGAGGGTATTTTATTCTTATACATGACTGCACACCAGTTCTTGGCTCTGGGGAGAATGGAATAAGTGGGGCTTCTTAAAAAAGAAGGTAATCTGTCAATTTATGTTTTCACAGAAGTCAGCTCCTAGTGCCAAATCTTGTATTTGGCACATTCAAGGACAGGGAGGTATTTTGGAAATGGGGATGGGAGGTACAGTCACAGGACAGATACAAATAAAGGCTCTAGTTCACTGTAGCACAAGTGAGTGCTCAAGTGAGAGTTTGATGCTCCTGCTTGACTCTGGTGCCTCTGCTTATAGTCTGTTTTCAGAAAGGGTTTTTTCCCATGGATGATAGACATCCCAAAGCATCTCAAAGAGGCAAAGCATGCATACAGAGTGGCTCTGGAGTGGCATTATGAAAACTAGAGGCAAAGAGTTCCTTCCTCTAGCTATTTCACTTCTCTGCAAGAAACATTAGCATGCAGATGTGATGGCTATGTTGACGTTTTGATCTGCCTGTGCTGATTCAGCCTGTTCCTGCATCTCACCGTTGCTTTCTTGATCTGGCAGTGATTCCTCCCTTATCAAGGAGCACATCTCGCTAGCTGGAGGGCTGTTTTCTGGGAGATGCTCAGGCCCTAGCAGGGTGTGCAGCAAGGCGTGTATGTCATCCAGGAAGCTGTGCCCCTGCAAGGAAGCATCTTTCACTGAAGATGAGAGTGCCTCAAACATGTGCAGCTACTAATGAAATGGCAAACCAAAACAAGTTATCTGGGACTGCCACTGGTGGTTTCTTGATTCAGCAGGCTGGATTATGTAACCTGGAGAGCAATATTCAGCCGAGGAGAGGCTGAAAGATGGTATTTTCTTAAAGGTGCTGATTTGATTAAGCGTATACCCTTGCCTTAACCCTGAGGAAATGCAGCCCCTCCCACAATGCTGTATTCTTTCTGGCATACCTTTACTCATCTGTCACACAGCTCCAGGTACAGTGACAATGAAGAGATATGAACATTCCCTACCTTTGGCAAAGGGAGCCAAGGATGATTGCGTTAGTGTTCTTTCATAACAAACTCCAATCATTGGCAGACAACTTACAATCAAGGTTTTCTTTCTGTCCTCAGCCCCACTGCTGGTTTGAGTAGTGTATCATTAGGATGATTGGATAACAGATTCATGCACGGTGCTGAAATTAAACTTGACCTGTCTAATCACATCACAAATAGCAATTGGAGGTTGGGGGGGTTTTCAGCCATCAACCACAGATCTGACAAAAAATGTGTTGGCATTGGGGAAACAGCTGTAGGTGGTGAGAGAAGGAAATATTAGCAGAAAAGTTGTGCAAAATATCAAGATACACAAGTGAGTTGTCTTGTACCTGACTGGTGTGCTTGCTTAGGAAAATACCATGGGGAAACAAACTACTTGGCAAGTGGGAAGCTGAAGATGAGTGCTTTATATCTGTCTTCTGCAATTTGTTTGGCATAACTTTCCAAAAGGTTAACTGGCCAGGACTGCCCTTGTCAGGGTTTGCTAACAGTCACAACAGAGCCAAAACAGAATTCCCCCTTCTAAATACAGAGTAAGATACAAATATCCCTTCTCACACCACTCTTGAGTGGTATCATACAAGGTCAAATGACCAAGAAAAGCCATGAAGGTGCAATGATTTAATAAAGCAACAGGATATATAACATTAGTAACTTATATACTATATAGAAGTGTAATAGAAACCAAAACAAGAAACAGCTTCTCAGCTTCTTCTAAAACTTACCCAAATTGTCTGGCATGGAGTATGATAGAATGGATCCATATTGGTGCTTTGGAAAGGAATTCTATTGTTAAACTCTTTGTCCTGTAATTTAGCTGTGAAAAAAGTAAAAAAAATTTAGCTGTGAAAAAAGTAAAAAAAAACAAGTGAGAGTTCACCATATTGCAGTGTTTCTAAGGTGATACTTTCAATGTAAGTCATTAAGAAAAGGGAGGGTAGAAAATAGATAGGAGACTGCAAAATCTGTCCCAGTTTTATGATGGATAGTATTCCCAAAATACCTGTGAGCTAGCATAAGTGCTTAATGCATAAGAAAAGAAGAATTTGACCTGGCATGTAATTCAAAAAGGAAGTATTTAGAATGTAAGCTATTTGTGGTACTACCAATAAAACCTCCAAACACAAAATTGTTTGGTAACAAGATCAGCAACATGCTACTGAAGTTCTTTGTTTTCTTTGTAGCTGGGGGAAGTTCAGATTTTGTATTTCACTGGAAATAGTTAAGGTGGTCTTTGCTTTTTAGTTTTTTTAATTTGGTTTTTTTTTTCAATTTAGGGAAAAGCAGAAATTATAGCCATTTTGAAAGTCTAATTCAGAGATGAGAAGGATTTTTTTCTAATTTCACTTTTTTATTTACTTTTTTAAAAAGTGTTCTTTTAAAAAATGGTTAAGCGTAATTAGTAACAGATAAATTAGTGGCAGATAATGATATCTATTTAGTATAACTGTCTTCTTTCTTAGTACTTCCTCTTTGTGCTGTAATGCTCAGGCTGTCAATATTATTTCATTACAAAACATACAGGAGATTTATGAGTATTGCAGTTGTTGTGGTACCAGATAGCAGGAGTGCTTAGTGATATGCCAGTAAAATTAAACTATTTTTCAGCTGCCCTATTATCACATAAGTAATAATACTGCACACAGCACCAACTAGTTATGAATATGTGAAGCCATAGTGTGAAAAGATCTGTGTAAAACTTAGCCATTAATATAACATTTTAAACTAGCCTTCAAAATAACATTCAGATTTTTAAAATGTTTCTAGTATTTGCAAATAGAAATAGGAAATTTTGTGAAAATTTAACTATTTCTCCCCTCCCTGTCCTGAGCTATACTGCCAGCAATCTTTGATAAAAAGAGATCCCA